AAAAAAAACTTAAAACGGAGAATTTGATTCTTCGTTACAGGTCACTTCCCTCTCGGAAATGAGGAAACTCCGAGATAATTTGCGGACAAAAATGCTTTATTTTAAATTGGCTCAGTGGAGCGATAAACAAAAATATAAAACGATTCAGAAAATTAATGATTCAATTGATAAAGAACTATATACAGAAGATCTGATCGAGAAGGCGGAGAGATCTTTCTCTCAGACAAGTTTGAATTCTTTTCCGCCATAATTCACTAGGTAAGAACAAGCAAGGTTCGTCGGGCTTGAGCCCCCGCGCGATTTTGAAAATGAACATACAAACATACAATCCGCAATCAAAATCATTGCTCTGTTGGCAGCTTTCGGAAGTCTTCACTTGGAATTTACAGAATTTCTCCGGCTCGTTATGTGTTATCGCACACTGGTCTAAGAACCTTAGAAATGTTCTACAAAATTTAATTTCACCACTTCCTTTGCTTGTGAAGTGAATGCAAATTTGTTCTGCAGTATTTACATATAATAAAGACCAATGGTTTTTATAACAAATAGGGAAAAAATAATGCAGCATTTTGGATGTGCGTACTGTCTTCATCCAGTTCACAACCCTATTCTGATATCCTTCAGTGGTAAGCACTGTAAATAGATTACTTTCCATCCGAACACAACTTGCCGTGGAAGCGCTAACTAATTTTGTAAACTGATGGATAATGTCACAGTTCACCCAGGTTTGCGACTTTAACGTATGTGCACCTGAAATTAGAGGTAACTTTTGGTTTGTAGTCACCCGTGCATACGGGCTATCAGCTTGACACGAGATAACTGAATCTGACTGCAGTCTATAACGTTTGATTTGGCTTTTAGAGCGGTGATTCTTGCGTTTATGCCCTTTTCCGACCTTTGCTTCCATTCTGTTCTTGGACTGTAACAGATTAACCACGAACCCTACAGTTAAAAAAGCGTTTTTTGAAAATCTCTCGCTACTCCTGAGAGAATGGCGAGCATAGCAGAAGCAAAATGAAACACGTAAAATGAAATATAAGATAAAAGGAGAAAAAAAAAATGTTGCGCACTAAAATGAATTAGTTTATACATTTCTTTACGTCCTTGATATGCACAAGACCAATGCACTGGTCATTTAAGTCTTTAAGTTGCAAAACGTTCGAGGACACTATTTTTGCCACAATATAGGGGCCAATATACTTGGGCTCCATTTTTGGACCGGGTTTTCTAGGTCTTGCGAATACCGGGTTTTTTCGCCAAACTTGATCCCCCACGTTGAATTTCACCACTGCGCGACGCTTGTTGTAACCGCGGCTCTGCTTCTCGAAAGCAGTCTTCATACGTTCGCGCACAATTTTGAATATTTCTTCCAAATTCTTCAGCGCTGAGGGCCGCCTAGTAAGATCCCGCATGTTTTCGGCTGGTGTCCGCAGTTCACGGCCAAAGTTCAAGTATGCTGGGCTCAAACCCGTCGAATCGTGTTTGGCGGTGTTCATAGAGAATAAGAATGCATTTAGATTTTTATCCCAAGGTACTTCTTGATTAGAGAACTGACAAATCAGAGTTTTGAGTACACGATTTGTGCGCTCCACCCAGTTACTTTGCGGCGAGTACAAGGGTGTAAAATGATGCTGCACTCCGAATTTCCTCAATGCTTGCCTGAATGTTTTGGAGACAAATTGGCCGCCGTTGTCGGTGAGAAGTCGTTCGGGAACTCCATGACGGACCACGATTAATTCGAAAAAAACTTCAGCGACAGTGGCGCCATCTACCGCAGGCACGGCCTTCGCTTCGACCCACTTGGTGAATTTATCTTGAAAAACAATCACGTACTTATTTTTCCGAGCTGTTTCTTTGAAAGGCCCAAGGATATCTGCTGCTACGTCCGTCCAAGGATGCGTGACGTTCCGGAAATGCATGTGACCTTTTGGAGCGGTGTGTTCAACTTTGTACTCCTGACATAATTTACATTTCTTCACATACTCTATTACATCGCGGTACATTCCGGGCCAAAAATAGAGCTCTTGAGCCCTCGCGTAAGTTTTGGTAACGCCAAAATGACCCGCCAGAGGTTCGTCGTGAAGTTCTCGTAAAATTTCCCCGCGTTCAGTTTCAGGAACACACAATTTCCATTCGGGTCCTGTCCATGGTTTGGTCCTGGATCTGACAAGTTTGAACAACTTTCCATTTTCAAGCTTGAAATCTGGAACGCTAGCAGGATCGTTTCTAACTCGCCTCACCGTGCAATCGTACCAACTTATCTTTTCGGCCGAGATTTTCCCGATGACGCCTTCAAGTGTGTCATTTAATGGATAGCGTGACAACATGTCAGGAACGTGATGTTTTCTGCCAGGTTTGTACTTGATATCGAAGTCAAATTGCTGCAACTGTAACGCCCATCGGGCCAATCTTCCCGAAGGATTCTGAAGTTTATTAAGCCACGTTAAGCATTGATGATCCGAAATGACGGTGAAGTGGTATCCCTCTAAATACGTTTTAAACTTGTGAATAGCCCAAAATACGCAGAGAGCCTCCTTTTCCGTGACTCCGTATAATTGCTCCCGTTGCGTCAGAGATCGGCTTGCATACGCAATTACTTTTTCTTGTCCATCAATGGTGTTTGTCAACATGGCCCCGAGACCTTTTCCCGATGCATCACAGTGGAGGGTCAGAGGAAATTCAAAATTCGGCGCGGTCACCACTGGTTCGCTTGTGATCGCATCGATAAGCTTCTGTTTCGCCGTCTCTTGTTCCTCGGCCCAAGTCCATTTTGCGTCCTTTTTCAGGAGCTTGTTCAGTGGAGCCGCTATAGATGAAAAGTTGGGAATGAAGCGCGCAAACCAACGTGCTGTTGCCAGAAAACTTTTCAGCTGCTTAACATTTGAGATGGCCGGAAATTTGGACAAGGACAACACTTTATCCGGATCAGGTTTGATGCCTTCCCTTGTTATCAAGTGTCCAAGGTACTTGAGTTCGGAGCACGCAAAATCACATTTGTCCATATTCAGGGTTAATCCTGCCTCTCTTAACTTCGAGAAAATCACACGTAAATGTGTTTTGTGCGCTGTCAGATTAGAGGAGAGGATAAAAATATCATCCAAAAATTTTACTGCAAAATCATCACATTCTGGGCCCAACAC